TTTTTTTGTCATTTTTGGAGATTAGCAGCTGCCGTTGGATGGAAAAGTGCTGTGTGAAGATTCTTCAGAATATCTTCTTCTGCATTCCACAGAAGAAAGAAAGTCATACAGGTTTGGAACGACTTGATGGTGAGTAAATGATGGCAAAATTTAGATTTTGGGCTGAACTATGCCATTAATGTTAGTTTAGTTGTTGCAGTGCAGATATTTCTGCACAAATAAGTTATACAACAGTGCATGTAAGGTCAAGCTAATACACAGATCAAACTCGTTCAGGGAGCTGCCAGTCAACAAACGCTCTTGTTCTCTCACACACATGCCGTGTGCCTCGTCTCAGGGGAGCAGCTGGATTAACCAAGAAACTACAAAGTTTTCACTTACACAGTGCTCTCCAGGGAGAAGACCAACGTCAAGCATGATTCTCTCTTTATTGTGCATGCTGTATGTAAGCAAGACTGCAGAAGACTGAGAAAAAAAGCCAAGGGTTTGGACTCTCTACAGAGCAATGAAGTGAAACAAAATGGTTGACAGGCAACTGCAGTAAAGCAGCTGCTGGGATTCCAGTGCAGACCAATGAGGAGTTGTGAGGCTACATCGGATTCACTTTACCGATATTGGATTTGCAGTCAGCAGGCCCGGTGCCCACTGGGATATAAACTGACATAATAATGCATCAGAGAAGCATCCTAAAGAGCTCCAAAATGCTTAGCGTTTTCAACTGAACTAAGAGCTCTGGCTAGTATTTATTTATTGTTGCTATCCTACACTTCCTACAGTCAGAATTCTCACGATTCGAGATTGACAGGATGGTGGAAATCAAAAAAATGCTCAGCATATATTTTACACTGTGTCTATGCATATGCGATCATCTGCCATTAATACTTTAAATCACACAGAAACATTATTCATTCTAAAGTTATATATACACGTTTGCATTGACTCTAAACTGTACATTATTAATGTAACCATCTTATTTTGAGATGTTCGATTTATTAGGCGTTATCGGTAAAAAACTAGAAGAAGAATATAATGCAGTAAACGATAAAACTGATAATAAATTACAGTAATATGATAACAAATACCAGTTTGCAATATAAAGCAAATGGCTACACTGCTCTTTCGTTACAAATAGGTGGACTGGCAACATCTAAAACGTAAGCATTTTATGTAGGAATAACTTTAAAGACGTCCAAATTCTCTTAGGTTCGTCAAATATTGAATTCAAGGAAATAGCAAATTGATTGTATTGTATCTAATCAATGAGATTAATAAAAAATGCTCAATGTCATATTTATTTAATGCATTTACCTAATGTGAAATTATAACAGTCGAATTTCTGTGTGATTTCTGGTGCTGAAATCAACTCGTTTTGAAGGAATGCATCAGTTTAGTCAAGCTTAAACTTGAAAGTGTTACAATTAATTAAAAATCATCATCATTTAATCATTGCTTAATCATTTAATTAGTAAAATATATATGCAAATAATTGCATAATAGTATATTATAACAAATTATTTTCACTGTACTTTACACCTGTTTTTTATGATTTATTTATTTATTTTAAATATACTGTTGAGAAGTGTTTTAGTACTGATTTAGTAGGGATGAAGTTCAGAGATATCTACATAACAGTAAAATATACACATATATACACTACCGTTTAAACGTTTGGCATCTGTAAGATGTGTTAGGCTGCTTTTTTCTTTCATCAAAAATGCAATAAAAACAAATATTATGAACAATGTTAAAAACTGTTTTCTATTTGAACAGATTTTCAAATTTTTTATAAAAAAAAATAAAAATTATTCCTGTACTCAAAGCTGAATTTTCAGCATCATTACTCCAGTCTTGAATGATTGTTCAGAAATCATTCTAATATGTTGATATGCTGCTCAAGACACATTTCTGATTATTATCAATGTAAATGTAAATGTCTTTACTGTTACTTGCTGCTATAAAAATCTTAACCTCTTTCAATCAAATCTTACTGACCACAACATTTTTAACAGATGTGTATTAATACATATTAAAATACATTTACATTTGTGAGCCTGTGCATACATACATTTAATATAACCCAGTTCTGGGTAAAACAGGGATAAACCCAGCAATTGGGTTGTATTTAACCCAGCATTTTTTAGAGTGTACCCACACACGCTGTGGAAAGGGTTTCTGCGAACTTGTGGAGCGGTCGGCTGGTGCGTACACACCGTCTAGCAGCCAGAGATCAACTGCGAGAGCTGCACAAACGCAGAGCCTGACAATTTTAGGCCATCGCAGGCTGCCACTGGGACATGTACGTTTTCACGCATCCCAAACAGCCAAAGCAGATAATTGGATAAAGTGATTTGGTAACACTTTATTTTAAGGTGTCTGTTACACATGTTACATGTAATTACTATTATAATAACAATTAATTTAGCATAATTACATGCAAGTAACCCTAACCCTATAGTAAGTACATGTACACTCTGAAAAATGCTGGGTTAAAAAGGGACAAACCCAGCTATTGGGTTGTTTTGTCCGAGCGGTTGGATTCAAAACATCCCAACCGCTGGGTTCAAAACATCCCAACCGCTGGGTTCAAAACATCCCAACCGCTGGTTCAAAACATCCCAACCGCTGGGTCAAAACATCCCAACCGCTGGGTCAAAACATCCCAACCGCTGGGTCAAAACATCCCAACCGCTGGGTCAAAACATCCCAACCGCTGGGTCAAAACAGCCCAATTGCTGGGTTTGTCCCTATTTTAGAGTGTAGTTAATTAATATTACTCAGTACTTATATTACACTGTAACAAGGACACTTTAAAATAAAGTGTAACCAGTGATTTTCATCCAGAATTGAAGTTTATTTCTTTCTTTTTTCAATTGTTCCCTTTTTATCTCTCACATCAGCATTATAGAAGGAAAGCAGTGCTAATTTGGGAAGCTACTTTGAAACTGCTTTTATCACAACACAAGCTAAGAGTTAAACTACAGGCAAGCTATTGTTTTCAAAAGAAAAAAAAAAGTTAATATGCTGCTAACAAAACCTTGCTATATTGGTCAGTGTTTTAATTGTTAACTAAAACTATTAAAAATATAGTTAATTGAAACTAAAACCATAAATTTTTTTTACATGAAACAAAATGTGAACTGAAATAAAATAAAATATCAAAAAACATATTTTTGTTTCAGGTAGTTGCCAAAGCAACATTTCTGACTTTCATTTGGTTTAACTTGATGTACTAAAATAACTAAAACTGAAATAAAAGTAAAAACAAAACTACAGACATATTAAATAATAATAATAATAATGATGACAACAACAAAAATACAACAAAATGACTAAAACTTTAACTAAAATTAAAATGAAATGAAAAAAAAATACAGAATAATAAAAAAAAAACAATTCAAAATATTAGGAAAAACTATAATAGTATCTCAATAATATTAAAATAATGCTGAAATTGGTTGAATAAATTACATTTGAAAATAAAAATAAATATATGAACAAACTACATGCAATTCTATTTGCATTAAGTAAGTTGAAGTATTACATTTTACACACACACACACACACACACACACACACACACACACACACACACACACACACACACACACACACACACACACACATATATATTAGTGCTGTCAAACGATTAATCACATCCAAAATAAAAGTTTTTGTTTATATAATATTTGTGTGTATATTTATTATATAGTATTATATATAAATACACACACATGCACATATATATTTAAAAAAAAATTATATTTTGTATATTAAATATATTTATATACGTATAATATAAATTATATAAATATAAATATATACATGTAAATATTTTCAAAATATTTACTGTTTGAGTGTGTATTTATATATACATAATAAATATACACAGTGCACACACAAATATTATGTAAACAAAAACTTTTATTTTGGATGCGATTAATCGCGATTAATCATTTGACAGCACTAATATAGGTTTATATATATATATATATATATATGGAAATGTAAAATTAAAAGCCATTTTCAAAATGCTAATAAATACTATAATAGTTATAAATATTATATAGCCTATTATAACATTTTTAGCAAAATCCAAGTGCCAACTTGATTTACGCAGCAGCTGATTAGTTTAAAGGACTGCATTGGAGGACAGCAAAACAAGTATTTAGTTAACCCTTCACTTAAAACCTCACTGTTATTGAGATACAGCTTTTGTGACAACTAGCCCTGATATAGGTTTAATGAGTATTTATCAGGCACAAAAACAGAACAGAACTAAATACAACTACAACTAGAAAACACCCTGATTCGAACTAAATATTTCACTACGAAAGAAGATGAAAATGCAGTGCAAGGACTTCTGCTTGGGGACTCCAATGAACGGAGTCGTTTTTTTGAACCATTTCATTTGCATGAACCATCCGAATGACACAATTATATAAAACGAATCATCCGTCTCAATGCTTCATATGAGAGAGAGGGGAGATTTTAGGAGAATTTCGTTATATTCTCTCAGCTAAAGCTGCAGGCGCAATGCAATCCGATGTGTCAGAATGTGTCACGCTGCGTGGCTACTTGTCGGAAAATGTGGGCTATTACTGGACGAGCTACATTATTATGAAAACTGAAGTTAGTAGCCTTGCTATTTTTAGCTAGTTACAGCCATGGACATGACAATGTGTAGCAGGCAAAGTTAACAAGAGGCAAGGGAGGCAACCATGTTGAACATTTCACCATCACATCACAAAACTACAACCTTTTTCATGATTTCCAACTTCAAAACTAGGTATATAATGAATCAATTAAGATGACATTTGGAGCTAGCATGTTATTTCCATTGAGGATTATGGTTTATGCATAGCTTCCTCTATCATTACAGCTCTGTCTGCCTTAGTAAAAAGAACAGCTGACATTTTCAGTGAACACACAGGCGTTCAATAATTCAGTGGCCACAGAAGGCGAACAGTGATCCAAACACACACAACAATTCCCTTTTATTGGAGCTGACTCGGTTTTATTGCTTGGCAAAATTTGGTGTGGGAGTCAGCAGGAGCAGTTATTCATACAGGCTTTGCCACGAATGGAAAGGTGTGTGTGACAAACTGCGACGAGGCACATAAGAGGAAAAACTTATTCAACAGAGCACAGATATGAAATCTATTCTGAGTGACAGAAGAAGAACTGAACCTTAGAGATAGAGAGAGCAGACGTTTGTTAGCTGTTTGTGATCAAATTGCCGGAACCCGATTCCACTTGACATTGACTGAAAATTAGTTTTATCAAACGAAACTCGAACTTCTCCATGCAAGAGAAGACAGAAACCTCATCTCTAGTCTCTTTTGTCAAAGCTGGCAGTGCAATATATTTTCCTTGATTAATTTGTCAGAGTTTGAGCTTGTGGTACCAATAAATTAATTAATAAAAAAGTCTATTTTTGGTTTATTATTAGCATCTATTTCAGGTTTTTTTTAATGGCTATTTTACACAAAAAGACCGTCGACTGCCTTTTCCAACCTTCAATTAGAGATGTTATTAAAGCTCAGTGCAAAAATACCATGAAGCCTTATTAAACAGCCTTGGTAATGTAATAAATTTAACTTTGGCTTTCTCATTTTCAGCCCCCAGTTTTAATGTGAAAATATCCTGTACTGTACATAACTGACAATACTAACTAACAATAGAACTGAACAAGATTCAGCAGTTGCTTGCTTTTCACAGCTGTAATTGAACATCTCCTGCGCTTTCCAGAAACACTTACAATTTGATATGACAAAATATCTACAGTGGATCTAAAATATGAATAGTTAATTATAATTAGTTATGGTTAATTATTCATATTTCCCCATGAGCTGATTCGCTACACTAACAATAGAACTGAACAAGATTCAGCAGTTGCTTGCTTTTCACAGCTGTAATTGAACATCTCCTGCGCTTTCCAGAAACACTTACAATTTGATATGACGGTCACATCCTACAAGCTTTTAGTTTGGTGGGCTGAACCAGACAATGATTCATACTAATGTTGTCACAATACCGAAATTTCAGTAGTCATAACTAATTCCAGTAAGGGTACATTTACACAACAGCAATGTAGTGTTTTTGAAAAGTTTCACGTACAGATGACAAGTTCTAGACTAGAACACTGTATAATGCATGCCAGGCCAGCAGTTGTCAGTCGATGTCATTTTATAAAGAAACACTACACGTCTGCACACATACCTATAGACTGAACGTGTTATTTGCATGCGCATGACTGCACCGATTTCACAAACTCGTTTACACGGGGTGATACTGGCATCGTTTTCAATTAAATGCAAGGCACTTTGAGTGTCAAACAAAGCATATACAGGCAAGACAAAATTAACACTCGTGGCTCCTGATGATATATTGAGGTCTTATGAAGTGAAATGATCAGTCTGTGCAAGAAACTGAGCATTATTACCAACATGTTGGGGGTAACGCATAACAAGTGACGTGAGTTACGTAATCAGTAAATAGTAACGCATTACTTTTAAATTTACAATGAAATATCTGAGTTACTTTTTAAAATAAGTAACACCAGTTACTTTGTTTTCCCGTTTATTGACTCGCATCTCTCCTGTCCTCATGTTGAGAGAAATCGGGAGTAATTACAAAGACACTTCATTCAGCCTGAAGGTTACTCATTTCACTTTTGATGTGAAAGGACCTTTACAGTTGCCAAAAATATAACTTTTGGGTTTTTTGTTATTAAAAATAAATAAACAAGCCCACCCCAGGTAACAGAAAGTAATGCAAAAGTAACATACTTTCCAGAAAAAGTACACTCGGTTACAAAAATGGGATGGTGCGTGTACTGTACACGCGTATTATTCTGGTGACGGAATTTGCGTCACGCGCACTGTACGTGGTACCTTTTTATAGTTTTCCTTCTATAAAAATGTAGCCTTGCCTGATATGATTTTTTTACTGCTGACGTGCATTTTATAAATCACCAAGGACCAAGGTTTCAGCTAAAAATCTTCATTACTATTCTGCTGAAGAAAGAAAGGCCTGAGGGTGAGAAAATTAACATCAAATTTTCCTTTTTGGGTGAACTATTCCTTTAATTAAGACTGTCCACCACAACTTTATTAGCCAACAAATGGACATGACAACAGTTAAGTTACAAAAGCCAGATAAAGTATAAAAAAATGTTATTTCATGTTTCAAAAAAATGCATTTTCAGAATATCCATTGCCGTGACAGTGGGCGCGAAAAGAAAAGCACATTGAAATATATGGCAAAGTGAAAAAGCAGAAGAGCCCAGCAGAAAGCTAAAGGCAGTCACACACAGCGCTAAAGGCCATGGTGACAGTGAGCAGTGTTTTTCCATGTCTGCTAGGCTCGCAGGTTCTGTCACTGTGAGGAGCTGTAATATCATGGCCTCATTTTTGCCAAGGTTTCAGCTTGGCCTTTGCCTCTCCAACCAGTAATTGGGAGCAGTATTCCAAGACACTGCCTGACTACACGGTGTAATTTAAGAGACACAGGACAGACACAGCATGACTTCCTGTTCTAAAATTTAAAACCATGGCAGCTTTTGTTAGACATCTAAAGACAAAGGTAAAAAGTACACTTTTCCTTGATTTTTTAAATTGTATTATGCAGCTAATTCATTTGAATGGATTTGGTTTAGGGGCCTCGGTGGTCTCAAACCAACCATTTTCCAAGCACCACATTTGCATCTTTTATTTGTTTTTAGTTGTCTCTTTGTTCCAATCTTCTTATTTTTTCCCACTACCATTTTCATAAGTATAAAAGTCAGTTCTAAATTGACTGGAAATACAGTTTGTATAAGAACAAAAGCTTCAAGCCTTGATTTATTAGTCTCCAACATGGCAGTAACACCATATACTGGAAGATATAGGTCATATCAAAGTCTATAACTTGAATGTGGTTTTCTATGTCTCTTGGGGAGCCTGCAGTCCTGTTGCATACATCCTATATAGATCATGGTCTATATACAGCTCTTTTTGAGCCATTTGTGTGTGTGTGTGTGTGTGTGTGTGGCTTTTGTAACTAAAAACATACTGTCATGTCTAGGCGGTATGATGGTTTTAATTGAAGCATTATATTTTGAAGCAGCTGTTTTTGCACTGATGCAAGATTTAAAATTAATTCGTTAATTTGATTTGAGTTCATCCAGATATAAATAAATAGAGTAAATAATCAAAGGAGATTAAGCAACTTTCATTTCTATTTAATTCACTGGATCATCACAAATAGGCATTATCACATGGTTATATAATATTTAATTTTAAACAACTGTTTAACTAGTTTAGGTTTAGTATTTTATTATTTTTCAACAAGGATGCATCGAACTGATCAAAAGTGACAGAAGTCTTTCACATTATTACAAAAACTAAATCTTCAAATGAATGGTGTTCTTTCAAACTTTCTATTCATCAGAGAATCCTGGAAAAAAAAAGATTTCCACAAACATACTAAGTAGCACAAATGTTTTCAACATTGATAATAATCAGAAATATATCTTGAGCAGCACATGAGCATATTAGAATGATTTCTGAAGATCATGTGACACTGAAGACTGGAGTAATGATGCTGAAAATACAGCTTTGATCACTAGAATAAATGATATTCTAAAATATATTCAAATAGAAAACAAGTATTTTAAATTGTAATAATATTTCACAATATTACTGTATTTTTGATCCAATAAATGATGCCCTGGTGAGAGTCATTAACAAAAATAAAAAAATCTTACCAACCCCAAACTTTTGAATGATACTAACACAATGTAGAGCGGAAGCAATTTCAGCTCAAGTAACGGGTAACATACAGGAGGAGAGTTTCCTTCACCATCCATTTCTGGAAGCATGTCCACAGAAAATCTCATGATAATCAGCTGATTTTCAGAAAGGCTGAGATTCTGAAACATGACACTCCCTACTGGTTAAAGCTCTCAGAAGGGAGGAGAGGAGCAGACAGAAAATCCAGTCAATGGGCTGCTAATGATTTTAACCAGTGAGTGCTGTGAACAGGCTAACACTGCCAGCACTCAAGCAAAGTGACTTCCAATGGAAAAAAAAGAAAAAAGAGAGAGAGATCATTTTTAACAAAACTGCAAGTTTTCTCCATTATCTATGGAAGCCCATTTCCGCCACTGAATAAAAAATAAAAGAGGTAATTGCGACTATTTATCTCACAATTCTGACTTTTTTTCTCAGAATTGCGTGATACAAACTCGCAATTGCGAGTTAAAAAGTCATAATTGTGAGATATAAACTCGAAATTCTGAGAAATAGTCACAATTCCGAGAGATAAAGTCAGAACTGCGAGATATAAACTCACAATTGTGAGAAAAAAAGTCAGCAATTGTGACTTTATAGCTCGAAATTGTGACTTTATAGCTCGCATTCGTGACTTTACAGCTCGCAATCGTGACTTTATAGCTCGCAATCGTGACTTTATAGCTCGAAATTGTGACTTTACAGCTCACAATCGTGACTTTATATCTCGCAATCGTGACTTTATAGCTCGCAATCGTGACTTTATAGCTCGAAATTGTGACTTTATAGCTCGCAATCGTGACTTTATAGCTCGCAATCGTGACTTTATAGCTCGCAATCGTGACTTTATAGTTCGCAATCGTGACTTTATAGCTCGCAATCGTGATTTTATATCTCGAAATTGTGACTTTATAGCTTGCAGTTGTGACTTTTTCTCTCACAATTGTGACTTTATAGCTCGCAATTGTGACTTTATAGCTCGAAATTGTGACTTTATAGCTCGCAATTGTGACTTTATAGCTCGCAATCGTGACTTTATAGCTTGCAATCATGACTTTGTAGCTCGCAATTGTGACTTTATAGCTTGCAATTTTGATTTTATAGCTCGAAATTGTGACTTTATAGCTCGCAGTTGTGACTTTATAGCTCGAAATCGTGATTTTATATCTCATAATTGTGACTTTATAGCTTGCAGTTGTGACTTTATAGCTCGAAATTGTGACTTTATAGCTCGCAAAAATTGTGACTTTATAGCTCGCAATTGTGACTTTTTAGCTCGCAATCGTAACTTTATAGCTCGCAATTGTGACTTTATAGCTCGCAGTCGTGACTTTATAGCTCGCAATTGTGACTTTATAGCTCGCAATTGTGACTTTATAGTTCGCAATCGTGACTTTATAGCTCGCAATCGTGACTTTATAGCTCGCAATTGTGACTTTATAGCTCACAATAGTGACTTTATAGCTCGCAATCGTGACTTTATAGCTCGCAATCGTGACTTTATAGCTCGCAATTGTGACTTTATAGCTCGCAATTGTGACTTTATAGTTCGCAATCGTGACTTTATAGCTCGCAATTGTGACTTTATAGCTCGAAATCGTGACTTTATAGCTCGCAATCGTGACTTTATAGCTTGCAATCGTGACTTTGTAGCTCGCAATTGTGACTTTATAGCTGGCAGTTGTGACTTTAAAAGGTCAACTATGGAAGAAACAAGAAGACATTCTTTCCATCAAAGGCATGGCGGTGTTTCTCTCCAGCAGCACTGAAGGACTACAGAACTGAAGAAATCAATTTGCATTCCATTAAGAGTTCCAGACTTCGGCATCCAGACCCTCAGCAGATGAGCCTGTATTAATCCAACAACTCATTTATTTTCTAATCATACCTGACAAAGGCGAGGGTTACGGAGAGCACCTCTTGTTCTACGTGTCAAGAAACCGGACATGTGGACGGATAAGGGCTATTTGAAGGATACTTGTGAGGTCATGTTTGGTTGAATGTTACATAAACACAAATAGGGCAGCACTTCGCTTCTCAGAGAAGAACAATTATCTTGAGCCGGCCCGTCTCTGTTAGATAAGCTGAGTTTAAGGAACAACTGAAGAGAGAGCTATTCAATTGTCATTAAAGGAACAGTTCACCCCAAAATTATAATTTGCTGAAAATGTACTTACTCTCAGGCCATCCAGGATTTTGTTTCTTTCACTGAAAGAGATTTGGAGAAATGTAGCATTGCATCAGTGTCTCACCAGTGGATGCTCTGCAGTGAATGGGTGCCGTCAGAGTCCAAACAGCTGATAAAAACACAATAATCCACAAGTAATTCACACCACTCCAGTCCATCAATTAATATCTTGTGAAGTGAAAAGCTGCAAGTTTGAAACAAATCCATGATTAAGACTTTTTTAACTTCAAACTTTCTGGCCCAAATATGAGTCCTCCTTCCATAAAAGTCATCTCATCTGAATCAGGGGAGAAATCTGCACAGTGAAAACAGTCCCAAAACAGTTCTAAAAGAATATGTGGCTGGATTTTGATGTGAGAGACAACAGGAGATGGACCTTTTCACTGGAGGAAGCGTTATTATGGACTTGTATTTCAGTTAAAAACGTCCCGATGGATTTGTTTCAGTTTTTGTCTTCTCCAGATGTTAACTGATGGACTGGAGCGGTGTGGATTACTTGTGGATTATTGTGATGTTTTTATCAGCTGTTTGGATTCTCATTCTGACGGCACCCATTCACTGCTGAGGATCCTTTGGTGAACAAGTGATGGAATGCTACATTTCTCCAAATCTTTTCAGATGAAGAAAGAAACTCATCTACATTTTGGATGGCCTGATGGTGAGCACATTTTCAGCAAATTTAAATTTTTCACATTTTCATAAACCACCCTGAAAAAGGTTTATATTCAAAATATATTAAATGTAGTGAAAACATTTTCTAATTGATTTTATAGTAATTCTAATGAAATCATATTTGTAATAGTATTTCTTGTATTTGCCACTGACACATCTTACCCCAAAGTATCTGGCACACTTTACAACTATATACAGGTAAGTTGTAGTTTTTTGTTTTTTTCAAGTAATATTTATTTTATTTCAAGCAACATTTTTATGGTTTTAGTTTTAGTTAACTATAATAACCCCTAGGACCGTGCATGGTCACATAATAAAAATTACACAGTTTACTAGATTAATGGAGTGGCACATCTTACCCCACCCTCCCCTACTTATGATTTACTCAGAATTACAAGTTTTCAGCTCAACCAGTTTAGCACAAAACCCCACAAACCTGCTCCAGTTCTGCACTCTGCTCTAATACGTGCTCCCATCCACATCAGGGGGGACAAAAAAAAAAAAAAAAGACAATGTTCATGAGAAAATAATGAACCTAATTAAAAGGAAAGTGCCTCTGATGATGGGAAGAAAAAACTTTGGGGAGATCAAATTAAAATTCCAGCTCAGAGGGAAGTCTACAGGCAGAGAAGGAGTCACTGAATTATTAAGATCTCTGTCATAAAAGTGGGGAAGCACCTCGATCAGTAAAGGAGCTCGGGAAGGGTGATGGCACAGCTTCTTCAATGCACCTGGTCTACAATAAGAATAAAAAGTGTGCTACTGTTGAAAAGGAGTGAATCTGAGCCACAAAATGCAGCTCTGTGATGTTCAGTATTGTCACAGACTGACTGCAATAGAAAACAATGTTAATGCATGTGAGGAAACATCACAAACACTTAATATTCAAGCACATCTGAGACTTTGTACACAAAGCATTAGGATCCGAACGCTGATGCATGCTGATTTGTTTGGCTGTTTACATGCACTTCATTTCTGAACCCGTAGGTTTGTGTCATAACACTAATTAGGTAGAAGTTACCTTTTTTAATCATTTATATCAAGGTATGAACAGCAAGTGCGTGTGAAGCCTTCATCACTGAAGCTGAATTAAAGATTGATTAGAAGAAGAGCAACAATGCACTTCAGACTATGAACAATTCCTCAATGGATATTTCATGTTTCATATTTCAGGGATAGTATGAGTAAGACAGACCTATACGGATAAAAAGCCAGTTTGTATCCTACTGATTACAGTGGATAAAGTTTTAATCAAGAGGATCCTTTTCAATCTTTAATAGGGTAAAGGCTGTGGAACAAATGAATTATTAACATAGTGTAATTCTGCATATTTATGGTCCCTGCTCTTCTGTCACTATCATATCAGATACGCTCTTTTAATATAGATCCACAGTCAAGTTTGTGCATGCATTAAAATGAGCAAACTGAATGCCTCAAGCTTTTAAAAGATGACACAATAATGAGAAACCAATCAGTCAATAGCCACGTGATATTTAGGCAATAGAACACAAGAAGAAGTATAACAATACAGTAGAAAGTAAAGAAGTAATGTAAACCTCAGACTGACCACCTAACATTCTATTCACTGATAATTTGACGCATTCTGTAAGATCTGATTGACTGGCTTTAGAGGGAAAAGTCATATTCCAGTGGTACTGCATTGTTACAACGAACACTAATACATTTAATCCATGTTTAAAAACAGTTAAAACAATGAAATAATACATTAATAAATCACTAAATATTTATATTTAAGCCTTGTTGTGTTCAAAACACTATAACACCTTTGGTGCTCCCGGTAAAAAATGTCCGGCCATTTAAAATAGCTTGCAAAGCGCTTGTTATATTCTCAATAAATATTGGTTTCAATCTTTTTGTCAAATAGTTTTCTTTCGATTAGGACTGGTTTTGTTTTTATTTGTTGTTTGTATTGGTTGTAGGCCTCATTAATCTGAGTTTATGCACCACAGTTTTAAATCATTTTGTCAATATTATATAAAATATGAAAAAAATTGCACTGTTTATCACACTAGTGTGCTCTAATGTATAACCAGGAAGTTTGTTTTGAAAAGCTTTTATTTTGTACAAAATTGCAAAAAAAATTGCAAGAAAAATTACACAATCTCGTGCTATGCTATAGTATCACCTAATATTGGATACAATCTTTTTGTCGACTAGTTTTCTTTCAGTTAGGACTTTTTTTTAACTGACTGATCGAAGGCCTCATTGATCTGATCGATAACGAATGAAAGCCTGTAATAATCAAAACAGTTTGTTTGTGTACATAAACTTGTGTGTGTTTGTGAGTATGTGGTAGAACAAGTATGCATGCATCCACACACCCGAGACCTTTATATTTGCAGGCACAGACGTACATGTGTGAACATGAACATGATTAACATGCTTCCGAACACTAAATATTTTTCTTCTTTTTGATCAATGAATCAGAATCAATTTTTGACCAATGTAAGCTCAGATCAACGAGGCCTACGATCAGTCAGTTTAAAAAATAAATATAAAACCAGTCATAATTGAAAGAAAAATAGTAGACAAAAAGATTGAATCCAATATTTGGTGATAATAAAGCACGGCAAGAGATTTATAAGCAATTTTTTTTAGGCCAGTCATTTTTGACCGGAAACACCACAAGTGTTCTTTTTTTTTTTTTTTTTTTTTTTACAAGATATAAGTATTTTAAAACAGATTTCCTGGTTGAATATTAGAGCACCCCAGTGTGAAAAACAGCACATTTATTTTTCATATTTTATATAATATTTATATTAAATATGTCCATATTTACAAACAGATTTTGGCTTCACAAGACATTAACTGATGGGCTGGAGTGGTGTGGATTACTTGTGGATTATTGTGATGTTTTCATCAGCTGTTTGGACTTTCATTCTGACGGCACCCATTCACTGCTGAGCATCCACTGGTGAGCAAGTGATCCAATGATACATTTCTCCAAATCGGTTCCCATGAAGAAACAAACTCATCTACAGCTTACATGACCTGAGGGCATTTTCAGCCAATTGTAATTTTTGGGTGCACTATTTCTTAAATTCAGATTAAAAATATTAGATACATATACCTGTAACAACACATAATAAATAAATACATCATTTTTAAATGCATCATTCAAATTGTATAAAGCATTTACAAAACTTTTTTCTTTATCCATTTGCTAAGCAAGTAAAAAAAAACACAAATGGGCAGTTTATGAGAACAGCCAATGAACTTTCGACTCCGTTTTAAGGCACAAAATTGCATATTTCCAAGTTACATTGTTGAAATAAGCAGTATTTTGGTAGGATATAAATTCAGACCTTGATGTAGGGCTGGGCGATTTTTGCGATTTTATCGATTAAAGGGTTAGTTCACCCAAAAATGAAAATTCTGTCATTAATTATTCACCCTCGTGTTGTTCGAAACCTGTAAGACCTTCGTTCATCTTCAGAACACAATTTAAAATATTTTAAATGAAATCTGAAGGCTCTCCGACCCTCTCATAGACAGCAAGGTAACTACCACGTTCAAGGTCCAGAAAAGTACCAAGATGATCGACAAAGTAGTCCGTGTGACATCAGTGGTTCATCTGTAATGTTACAAAGCTACGAGAATACTTTTTTGCGCAAAGAAAACAAAAATAACAACTTTATTCCACATTTTCGTCACTTGTGGCGGCGCCGGCGCTGACCCAGATCGCCACACCCTCGCGTCACGGTACTGTTGTGAACGCGTGCCCACAAGTGACGCAGTAGAGACGAAAATGTGTTATTATTTGGTTTTGAACAACACGAGGGTGTTTATTATTAATGACAGAATTTTCATTTTTGGGTGAACTAACCCTTTAATTCAAATGTAATGTTTTGCGCCGATTTTATTTTTTATAAATTGAGGAATTTGATTTTGATTAGAAATATGACCAAATGTTAGCATTAGACACTTTGACAATATGCCAAATGTTAACAGTAAAGACAAAATGATCCAACCGCATGTCAGCGAACGTGATTAACCGCTCACGTGACGCGCTCAGTGAAGGACAAGCAATCAAATATAAAACGGTAAAGAACTACTGTGTATGTGTGGAATTTCATGTTTGCATCATGGTGACAGGCTGAAAGCTGCTGTTCATTGTTTTTACAGAACATTTATAGTTAATAATAGTCAAATAGTTGTTTTACCTTCAGTCATTTTGAATTTGTAATAACTTGAATTTTGAGTTTTTTTTTTTTTTTTTAAACATTTTCCTTGTATTATTTCTGAACATATAATATATATGTATAAGACAATAGTATATATGTATAAGACAAGTTTGTTCAATATGTAGTTGTTCATGCATCTTTTTTGCGAAGATATTTAACAAGTGATTTGTTTAACATTTACATCATGTGTGGTGCACTTGAAATAGAAATTAGTAATCCAGAAAAACTAGAGGGTTAATGAAGAAAAAGTTACTTGAATCATGTTGTAGTTACATTTTCAAGTTGACTAGTTAAAAGTCGTACGAAAAACCCCAAAAGTTTTTTTTTTTTTTTTTTTTTTTTACAAGATATAAGTATTTTAAAACAAATTTCCTGGTTGAATATTAGAGCACACCAGTGTGAAAAACAGCACATTTATTTTTCATATTTTATATAATATTTATATTAAATATGTACATATTTACAAACAGATTTTGGCTTCACAAGACATTAACTGATGGTCTGGAGTGGTGTGGATTACTTGTGGATTATTGTGATGTTTTCATCAGCTGTTTGGACTTTCATTCTGACGGCACCCATTCACTGCTGAGCATCCACTGGTGAGCAAGTGATCCAATGATACATTTCTCCAAATCGGTTCCCATGAAGAAACAAACTCATCTACAGCTTACATGACCTGAGGGCATTTTCAGCCAATTGTAATTTTTGGGTGCACTATTTCTTAAATTCAGATTAAAAATATTAGATACATATACCTGTAACAACACATAATAAATAAATACATCATTTTTAAATGCATCATTCAAATTGTATAAAGCATTTACAAAACTTTTTTCTTTATCCATTTGCTAAGCAAGTAAAAAAAAACACAAATGGGCAGTTTATGAGAACAGCCAATGAACTTTCGACTCCGTTTTAAGGCACAAAATTGCATATTTCCAAGTTACATTGTTGAAATAAGCAGTATTTTGGTAGGATATAAATTCAGACCTTGATGTAGGGCTGGGCGATTTTTGCGATTTTATCGATTAAAGGGTTAGTTCACCCAAAAATGAAAATTCTGTCATTAATTATTCACCCTCGTGTTGTTCGAAACCTGTAAGACCTTCGTTCATCTTCAGAACACAATTTAAAATATTTTAAATGAAATCTGAAGGCTCTCCGACCCTCTCATAGACAGCAAGGTAACTACCACGTTCAAGGTCCAGAAAAGTACCAAGATGATCGACAAAGTAGTCCGTGTGACATCAGTGGTTCATCTGTAATGTTACAAAGCTACGAGAATACTTTTTTGCGCAAAGAAAACAAAAATAACAACTTTATTCCACATTTTCGTCACTTGTGGCGGCGCCGGCGCTGACCCAGATCGCCACACCCTCGCGTCACGGTACTGTTGTGAACGCGTGCCCAAAAGTGACGCAGTAGAGACGAAAATGTGTTATTATTTGGTTTTGAACAACACGAGGGTGTTTATTATTAATGACAGAATTTTCATTTTTGGGTGAACTAACCCTTTAATTCAAATGTAATGTTTTGCGCCGATTTTATTTTTTATAAATTGAGGAATTTGATTTTGATTAGAAATATGACCAAATGTTAGCATTAGACACTTTGACAATATGCCAAATGTTAACAGTAAAGACAAAATGATCCAACCGCATGTCAGCGAACGTGATTAACCGCTCACGTGACGCGCTCAGTGAAGGACAAGCAATCAAATATAAAACGGTAAAGAACTACTGTGTATGTGTGGAATTTCATGTTTGCATCATGGTGACAGGCTGAAAGCTGCTGTTCATTGTTTTTACAGAACATTTATAGTTAATAATAGTCAAATAGTTGTTTTACCTTCAGTCATTTTGAATTTGTAATAACTTGAATTTTGAGTTTTTTTTTTTTTTTTAAACATTTTCCTTGTATTATTTCTGAACATATAATATATATGTATAAGACAATAGTATATATGTATAAGACAAGTTTGTTCAATATGTAGTTGTTCATGCATCTTTTTTGCGAAGATATTTAACAAGTGATTTGTTTAACATTTACATCATGTGTGGTGCACTTGAAATAGAAATTAGTAATCCAGAAAAACTAGAGGGTTAATGAAGAAAAAGTTACTTGAATCATGTTGTAGTTACATTTTCAAGTTGACTAGTTAAAAGTCGTAAAAATCGAGAATCGGTCAAACGTTCTGAAAAAAATTGAGATATGTCCGTTGCTTTACATGTTGATCAGAAAGACTCTTCCTATCTAAGTGGGCAATTCACAGCTAAAGTAATCTGGCAAAGTGGACCAGACATCATGCCAGTAGTCAAAAGTCTAACTAAGCAAGATAAAAATAAACGTAAACCGAAGAAACTCAGTATTATTCGAAATATGTTTTAGCATCTATAATTCCTTTTTTCCAAGTAGATTCTCAAATGATTTGTTGCCGTGCAGCATTTTCCACAGGTCAAGGTAGCAATCCGTACGACAGGACTTCAATTATGACAAGAAGAACAGAGTGCTGGAAGAACAAAGGACTTATTTACCAGCTGAAGGAAATGCAAGGATGGAATGGACTCCACTGTAGGCCTGAGGGACACATTAACATGGATATATGCACACAGATCTAGCACATTTGTATAGGACCAACGGGAAACATGGAAACTTGGTCACGTAAACATAAGCTCATTTGTTCCCAGATGGGTACGAGTGGAGAGCCAGCAGTATTTGCTCTGATCATGCCCACAGTGGCGTGACAACGTTCCACGCGGCTACACACCGAAAGGCTATCAATTCTTCGTCAGTATGAAGCAGATCCACTGAGTGTATGACAGCTGCCTACTCACCATCTGCTAAGCCAGCGAATGGCTGATAAGTCGGTGAATCATGTAAACGTAAGCACTGTGTGGCCATCCATGTCCATCATGAAACAGCGTCATGTCAGGACCTAGTCATCATGATCATGCCTTCAGAGCTTCATCTTGACATGTTCACAAAGACTTTAGTGTTATTTCACGTTCTTGGGAAATAAAACTGAATTCCTTTTCTATTCCCAATGAAGGCTAAGTTGAATGCAATCTTCTTGAGTCATGAACCAACCAGAAGGGTTTAACTCCTTCCCCATCATTGATGGATTTTTCCGTCATTTACGAGACAACGCTTCCTTGCCATGGACTGAAGGAAGCGCTACAA